CGAAGAACCGGTTCTGAACCTGAAAAGCTCTAGCACGGAGCTTGAACCGGAGTTACGTTGGTGTGAATGAGGTATCAGTAACACTTGCGCTGCTATTGGCTAGCTCTCCAACATATTGTCCGTGATTGGCTGAGGGGTGGGACAAAGCAACGTTAACACCATCGCCAAATCCACAGCCTGAACACAGATGGCAGCTCCAGCGATGTGAAACGGGTTACTCAGTTTTATTTCATACTCTCTCAGTACCTGGGGGTTATAGACTCTGGTTTTAGACAGAGGGTGGAAAGAGGGGCTGCAGCACAGGCAGTGTATAATAATAGGGCTCCTTTCAAGTATTACAGACAGACATCATGCGTCATCACAGCCATAAATGCAAACTTGTTTCCACAAATTTTTTCCGGATGAGCTGGTGGAACTTGATTTGTGATGCGAGCTGAGTGAGAGAGCTTCCGCTGTTACTTCACTGCACCCGACAATGACAGAGTAACATTTTTACTGCCTGGTAAACAAAACAACGACCTTTGGAACGGCTGATGTGGATCGTTTTGTGTGTTTTGTTCCTTGTTGACGACAACCATGGCTCCTTCTTTCTTCCCGGGGGGGCCACGCTCCATCTTTTCGACTTCATCACTGCTTGTTCACGTTTTTTCGCACCTCACTTGCGCTTTCTCACTTTCGACTACCTCCATCCTCACACATACGCTCCACATGTGGTACACACACACACACACGTAACCATGGCAACCTTGAGCTAGGCTCCTCAATTTCCGGAGAAGGCGTCGCTCTTCGAACCCTCTTTTGTGTCGCTTCAAAGACAGAGGGCAGGACAGGCGGAGTGCAGACGTCAGTGTGACTGCTGCTGAACCAGTGTGTCATACATGCTGTACATGTATGTGTGTGTGTGTGTGTGTGTGTCATTGGCAGGGCCACAGGGCTCGGGCACAGGAATGCCGGACAGGATGTTAGGGAGAGAAATCCAGAAAACAGTCTACTCACTTAAAAAAAAAACACCCTGTGGTGGCTTTAACTGTAACATGGAGACACAGCAGATTCTAAAAGTGCTTCCCTAGAGTCCAATTTACACGCTCACACTCCATATGGTGTCTTTTGTCCCTAAGTAACTTCAGTGTTGCGTTGCGTGCCAGTGTGATTTGTACTGCCACAGCTCCATTAAACCATCTGTGGAGAGTATTGAGACTCAACACGGGAACAATCGCTGTGTTTTCCGGTGACAAACAACATAACCCAGCACTGCTCAAGAGCTGTCTGACTTAAATGCCAGAAACATAACTCAAAAGGGCTCTACATGTTTGCTTATGAAAGCTGTTATTAAACTGTTACTGTGAACAAAGTGGCCACCTATGAAAAATGCCAAAGCTTCAGTAATGACAATGGCATTTCAGTTCTCTGTGCTTTCTCTCAAACAGCCGAGTTCATATGAGGCGACGGAGCTCACAAATGTTCTTATAATTGTACCTTCTTCTCCAAGACTGAGGTCTTTCTTATGATTGATAAAATAAAAAATAGAACTATTGATATTATGACCAAGCACACAGACCTTCTTTGTTCTTTGCTTTTCAATTCAGAATGAAACAAATAAGTGATTCAAATGTTTCCCCAAAAAATCTATCTACTTTGATTCAGTTCTTTTTTAAAAAGCAGAAATGGCAACCGTTCCATTTAGACCACGAAAATAACTCCATTCAAGCCATATAACAATAGGGCTGCTCAATTAAATCGTATTTTAAATCGCAATTATGGCTTGCAACGATTACGAAAACAACGTAATCGAAATAAAACGATTTTTATTAGTTTTTTAGTTGAATTATACTTAAAGTTCAGGGTAATCAACTGTTAAAATCATACTGTTCACATTTTTTCTCCAATAAATGGATGTTTTCAAAGTAAATGGATAATCGTTTTTAATAATCGTGATATCAATTATTGACCAAAAATAATCGACATTATGATTTTTGCCATAATCGAGCAGCCCTATATAACAATAGTAAAATAACCAAAGTACAATATCTATATTCATCTCAGATAAAGATATCACTTTAATGTATCCTCATCATCACTTAACCATAAAGATAAAATGTCTCCACCAGTTTGAGCTCCATAACCTATCAACAGTTAAATATATCACCAAAAACATGCATTGAAGAGCAGAACAGTGAACATTTTCGTCACAGCTTTTAAAATTATAACATCCTGTACAAAAGACGAAATTGGGGCTTGTTTTGACAATAATGTCATTATTTTTTTATGTTGCCTTCATCAAACCCTACAGGTGCGGATGGACACAGTCTTTTTTTAAATCTCTGTTTCTGATAGCTGCTGCTCTCCCTCCCACCTCACTCCCACTTCCAGTAATGTTCCGAGCGGGAGAGCTGGACACAGGCAGAAGCAGCCTCGGGGGTAAACATATGGATGCAGCGAGGGGCACAGATGTTCCAGACTAGAGGGACCCTCTTATCCTCGAGTGCTTTTTAATGAACCCTAAGAGTTCACAGCAGCACACACAAAGAAATAAAAGGAAGACACAGCAACAAGTGGGAACTGCCGAGTGAGAAGCAACCCATAATGTTTGACAGACAAAGATCAAAGGTTGAAACTCATATAGACTGAGTCATTTTGTGGACATTGAAAACAAATCCTGTTGTTTGTTGTGGAAGGTTCAGCGATGTTAAATATTTGTTATGTGGGTTTTCTAAAGGAATAGCACAACATCATGTCTTTTCAAAGCCTGTTTGTGCCTGTCATTGATGCTGACTTAATGCTTAACCTTGTGGCTTGATGTAATAACAGAGGAGAGACATTTTCAAGTGATTGCTCTTTGAGGCGGCTGCAGAAAACACGTCACAATCACATTACTCTAAATTACAGACTGACAGAAGGGGGTCATCATGGGTAAGATTTTCTTTACCCCAAAGGAGGCCAGGTTGTTGTTTGTCCTCTCCCCCACAGCGAATGTCCAGCCAGCTGACCCTGCCCACAGCCTGGCAGCATGTGGGAGCAGCTGCCATGTTATCCGTGTTATAGACACAGAGCACCTATTCTCTTTGGAAAACACTCCCTCAGCGATGCATTCAGTGGGTTTAATGTCCAGGGCTGTCCTCAACTAAAGACTTTCTCGAAGCATACGGTTTTGACGACAAATGGAGCATTTCTGTTAAGTATCGTTTCTCCACAGGAGTCATTCAATAGCATAAATCTAAATATTTTGAAGGAGCAGAACATTGGACCCTACCACCCCCTCTATAGTGAAAATGAGGAGTACTTTCAGCCAAAGACTCATCTCTCCTTAACACACCACAAAAGCTCATTTAAAGCCTATGTTCATGTACCAATAAGGCTCCACAATAAAGTCTTGACCCCATCTTAAAATCGTTTAACATCCTGCACCTTTTGTACACATGACTTGCACTGTACTTGCACTTTCAAATATATATTTAACATATTCAGGAGTATTCATACCTGTTACATATCTAAACACTTTTAAATTGTAATGTATACTGTCACTTAGAGATTTGATTTTCTAGTCTAATTATCACTGCTTTCCCTGCTGAAAAAAAACAGCATACTGTAGACCACCTGGTTTTAGCTAAGGTGTTAGGCTGGTTTAGTTGGTTTACCAGGCTGGTCTTGCTGGTTCATGACCAGCCTGGCCAGCTAAACCAGCATAGACCAGCATGGATGTCATGGGGGGGAGGGGCTGTGCGTAGTGATGAAAAGCTGGTTCGAGGGGGCCCCAGTGAATGTTTACCCAGGGTCCCGACAGACTCTAGAATCGCCACTGGGCAACGCTAAACAATTTCACCTAGTCTGAGAGTAAAAGCTTTCTTGAAGGTTCGTTTTGCTTTCTTACAACGTTACGTTAATGTTAACCTTAAGTTAAGGTGACCAGATTTTCAAAATTAAAACCGGGGACATTTTGAGTTTTGCGGTCAATATATCATTAACATATCCACTTGTCTTCACTGTTAAAGAAAAAAGGGGGACAATTCTGGTTCAATGTAATTCGAACATTTGAACTGTTGGATACAAACATAAGGACGATAGCTCATATATGAGACTTCAAAGGTCTTTTATTTTGAAACTGTACATCAGATTGTCCAGATTCTCTCTGAGTGATTAGATGGGGTGTCCTGCTATCACCCTGGAGTGAAATAAGGCTTTGATACTGGATAGTTTTTGTTTTATTCTTATCTAAAAACAGAGGGATGATAGCCCATATATGAGACTTCAGAGGTCTTTTATTTTGAAACTCTACTTCAGATTGTCCTGATTCTCTCTGAGTGACTAGATGGGGTGTCCTACGAGTTTCAAAATAAAAGACCTCTGAAGTCTCATATATGGGCTATCATCCCNCAGAACTGACTGAAGACATGTGGAACAGAGTCAGAGGGTCCAGAACTGACTGAAGACATGTGGAACAGAGTCATGGGGTCCAGAACTGACTGAAGACATAAGTAACAGAGTCAGAGGGTCCAGGACTGACTGAAGACATGTGGAACAGAGTCATAGGGTCCAGGACTGACTGAAGACGTGTGGAACAGAGTCATAGGGTCCAGGACTGACTGAAGACATGTGGAACAGAGTCATAGGGTCCAGGACTGACTGAAGACGTGTGGAACAGAGTCATAGGGTCCAGGACTGACTGAAGACATGTGGAACAGAGTCATAGGGTCCAGAACTGACTGAAGACATGTGGAACAGAGTCATAGGGTCCAGGACTGACTGAAGACATGTGGAACAGAGTCATAGGGTCCAGGACTGACTGAAGACATGTGGAACAGAGTCATAGGGTCCAGAACTGACTGAAGACATGTGGAACAGAGTCATAGGGTCCAGAACTGACTGAAGACATGTGGAACAGAGTCATAGGGTCCAGAACTGACTGAAGACATGTGGAACAGAGTGACAGGCATGGTTCCATGTACAGGAAACTGGAACTTTGAACAGGTGTTTTCATATTTTCTGCCTGAAGAGTCACAAGTTCTTGATCCGGTGTTTGATGTGGGCTGGCATGATCCTTTCTGCAGTGATGAATAAAGAAAATAAAGAAAACATTATTAATAATAGTAATGATGGTAACAACAATAATATTAGTGTAACTATTTATATAGCACTTACACAATTACAAAGTGATTCTCACAACAAAAATAGAGAACAAAACAATAAAAAACAAATTATTATAGGAATGTTAAGAGACAAAGAAATGATAAACATTCTAAGAGGCCGACTACAAAAGCTAGACTCTATGGCTCTTGATGACATCAATGAGCAGTCCCAATACATGCTGTTGTATAAAAAGAAATAAAATAGGTCCAGATTTCTTCTATTTTGTGTCGGATGATTTGTTTTATTGATTGCTGATGGATGTTAAGATGTGTTTTACAATTATAACAACAAATATTATTGTAATTGGAATCAAAAAGATTGCAAATCATAGTTTTAATAAAATCACTAGCAATATAGGGTTTATTCAACAGCAGTAAAGCATTAAGTTGCTAAATTAACGTACACTGAACTGTAAAACAACTTGCCACTATTTAGGAAAGGCTCTGATCAGAAGGGTTGACTAAAAGAGGTGGAGGACGTCTATGTCATGTAGGACCATTGGTAGGTGTTACACCTGAAAGAAAGATAAGGAAATAAGACACGAGGACAAACATCCTCTAAAGTAAAAGAACAAATCATGTCAACCTTTAACCTGAGCCTGTTTTTTTCAGTCTTTACAATGCACTGTTGGAAATTACATTCCAAAGGTTAAATTCAAGCTCAATACCATAAATAGTATCAAAGTGCTTTACCTTATAGAACACGTTCCACACGGAGCAGCAACCATCCGGCTGGGCCTTTTGCTGCATATCATCTCCTCCCTCTCCACTGTTTCCAGTAGATCTCTACTGTCCAATAAAACTGAAATTCCCCAAAAAATCATATTTAAAAAAAAAAGTTAAAAACAATAACTTGCTTTTGGCATTGAAATTGATTAGAATCTCACCTTTTTCCTGGATGTCAGGAAAGCCAGGAAGTTGTTCCCTTCAAGTCCGCAACCAGTCATAGGAGTTCAAATGCAAAGCCTGAACGATGACAAGAGCGAGAGACTTACATTTTACAATTATATTTGTAATGAATACCAGAGCAGTGTGTACATAGGCCCTGTACGACATGCAGAGAACAGATCAAATCCCCTGACAGACTCACACACTTTGGTGATGTCCTCATCTGATAATGTTTCATTTTTTAGCAGCAAAGTAACATTACTCAAAGTATGTCGGACCCAACTCATTTACAGTATGTTTTGCATCTCCTCAACAATGGTCTGTATCATTGAGTAGAAAAAAACTGTCCCTACAATTTCAAGTAGATTAACACACATTGTAAGAAAGGTTTACAATGAAGCACAAAACCCCTCTTTGTATTAAGCAAGCTGCCACATAAAGTACAGCTTAACATGCCAACCTTTGGTAGAGTGAGCTACAGTTAGCTAACTTCCTGTTAAACACAAAACCTCTAACGTGCATTGACGATTTTAAACAAAACTTAACTCTCTCAATTTGTGAGATAACGTTAAGTTAAGTTACCCTTAAATAACTACATCACGTTTTTCAGGGGAAAAACAAACTCCAGAAAACGTTAGCTG